ATTTGTGTTGATAAGTCTGTGGTTATTTTGATAATTTTTCCATTGTAGGTAATCTGCTTCTTTTCTCTGGCTGCTTTTAATATTCTGTTCTTGTGGTGGATTTCTGGAATCTTGCTTATTATATGTGTGGGTGTAGATCTGTTTTGGTTGTAGGTAGCTGGAGTTTTGTATGCCTCTTTTATCTGGATATCATTTCTTTTTCCTTTGCCTGTAAGTTTTCCTTAATTATATCTGTGAATAGTCTTTGTAGTTCATTTGTAGTTACTCCTGCTTCTTTGCTCATGTTTTTTATTCTTAAGTTATAAATCCTCTTGTTGTCTTGTAGCCTTTGTATTGTTTCTTCCTGCTTCCTTGTTATTTTTAAGACACCTTTTCTTTCATGATCACACACCATAAATCTCTCTTCAAGTTTCAAAAGGCTAACTTTAGTTTCTGTCAAGGCATTTTGCCAGCTTTCAATGGAGTTTTTAGTTTCCTGGTAATCTCTTTGGATCTGTTTCATGTATTCTAGATTTTGTTTATATTCTTCATCAAAGGTTTCTCTTCCTTTTCTGAGTTCCTCTGTTCTTCCTTCTGTGTTCTCTTGGGAGAGGCTTGTAATTTCTTTAATTAATCTTTTTATACCTTGCCTCACTTGGATCAGAAGTACAGTTTTAAATTCATCTATGAGGTCATGAAGGCTTTATGTCCACTGATGCAGTATCTAATACTGCATGATGATTGCACTGGTTCTCTTCTGTATTTACCTCTCCTGGGCTTATTTTTCCAGGGTCAGTGGCTGGAGGTTTTTTTTTAAATTTCTGTCTCTTGTCATGTTTCTGGTTTCTTTCAGACAGGTGTGTCTGAGGGGGGGTCTCTGACCCTCTCCGTATTGCTTAAGGTCTTTCCAAAGCATACTGACTGGGATTTTGCTGCCCTCCCCAATTTGCTGTTATCTGAGGTATCTTAAACTCCCTCCTAGGGGCTCAGGATGGTGCGAGGATACTCACCGTAGGCTGCCCAGTCCAGAGCTCAGGGCACAGGCAAGCGGGCCCAATTCCTCAAAGCTGGTTGATCATGGCAGGAAACCAGAAAGTTCTGGTTCTGTATTTTTGATTATTGTATGAAGAGGTGTTTTCAGAAGCAGATTCTCTGGGCTCTGTTCGCCACGGCAGCTCTGTGGGGCTCCGGCGGCAGTGGCCCACTCAGTGCTGGCACCATGGGCTCGGGTCCTCACGTGAGCAGTGAGGGCAAAGGCAGCAATGCATCCCAGCAGGTCCAGTCCTGTGCCAGGGATGCCATAATGCGCCCTCCTCCTCACATCCTCCAGGACGCTGCCCGGATCCAGGGAGGCAGTGGTGGCAGCAGAGGCAGTGGGGGGGGGTGCGCAGGGGCAGCTGGTGGACACCTAGTCACTCCACTTCCCTAGCCTCAGGCAGGCCCATGGCAGCAGAGTTGGAGGCAACAGCTGGAGCACAGCAGTGCAGGGATGGCCTGTCTCACCAGTGGCCCAGAGATGCTCAGGGCTGCATGGTGGCATGGCCAACCAGGGCTGTATGTTTGATTGGTTTTTCTCACCTTAGTTTCTTCCTGGGACAAGAGAATTCCTCTCCTTCTGTTCGGGGCTCCCCATGCTGTATTATGTTGAATTCTAAGTTGACTCAAATATAGAGATTTTAAAACACGGTTTTAACAAAGGTAGGGGAGACACTCATGTACTTTTGGTAGCAATACAAATTGGTATACTCTTTTAGAGCATATATCACCAATATATATTATATCAAAATCTAAATAGGCATACTCTTTGTCTATTAATCATGTTCTTTGGAAGTTGCCCCAAGGAGAGAATATTTTTCAAAGATGTATATATATACTCATAAAAAATGAGAAAACGCTTAAATGGCCATATGGTTGTTATATTGTATAAATTATGATACATATGATCAATGGAGAGCACTGTTAGCCCATTCTTGGCATAGGACTTTTTAATAACCTATAGATTGATTATCTGTATTGCTTTTGGGAATTTGAATTCTACATTTAGGTGAAACAAAGTAGAGTTCTTACAAAAGAACGTAGCTAAAATAGTAGCCAGCGTGAGTGCTCAACATGTAAACGTATATGTGTATTTACATAATGTCTATCTTCAACTTTATAATGTAGGCTTCATGTGGCCAAAAACTGGCTTTATTGTTCTTTACTATATATGCTCAGAGCTAAAAACTAGGTTTGGCATATAGTAGATGTTCAGTAAATATTTGCTAAATGGATAAATAGTGAAAAAGAGAATCCGTGCATTCAACTAGATGACTTCTTATACTTTACATTTTATGGATTTTTTAAATATTACAAATATAGTTTTATGTCATTTGTAAGTACCTTTATGGTAAGGATCTTATTTTCCTAATAATAAATGTGCTTATAAATTTATAAAACACTTTCATAAGTATGATTCAGTAATATAAATGAGATGGCTGGCTTTTTCTCAACTACAGGGGCTCAAATATTTTGTCTATAACTTCACTAAGATAGCTTCCAGTCTCTACCACATCACCTCATTTTATTCAAGTTCTTTTTGATTACCTTGTTTGTTTGTGTGTTGTGTCTCATCATATATCAGAATGTAAATTCCATGAGGGCAGGAATCTCTTATTTTATTGTTTGGCACATAGAGGATACTGATTAAACTTCTGTTGAATAAATAAATGAGAACATAGAAATTACAGCTTTAAGTAATATTTCAATAATTGAAAGCACTCAGTATATATAGTTTAAATGTTATACCTGTATTAATAATATTAATCTTGATAATAATCCCTGTGACCACCTGTGGAACAAAAGGCATCTGTTCTACTTCATTATCTTAATTTATAAAATTGTAACAGGTTATTTATGTTAATATTTATCTAATGTGTGCTCTTGTCTAGACTTAAAGCTTTGTAAATTTTAGAACTATATCTATGTTGCTCTTCTAACATTTAACATAGTTCTTTGCACTTGGAAGGAATGTAAATATTTATTGAATAAAGAATTACGTACAATTGTATGAGCTAGCTATCTCCTTAGTAAACCAAGGCTTGGAAGCATAAAGTAATTTTACAAAATATAGTTAGATAGAGAAACGAGAATTTAACCAACATCTGCCTTCCAAATATTACATTTTTTCAACCTCACTATAATAATTTCTAGACTCAAAATTAAGCAGAGTTACCAAAGGAGTATTCAAAAATACATAACCTTGGATCACACTTGGTGGCACTGAGTGAGAACTTCTGAAGATAAGGCCCTAAATTTTGTTTAAAGAAGTGAGAAAAACTATGAGTATGGTTTGAGAATCAATGATTTAGACAATAGACTGGTAAATAACTGTTTGAGGTCCAAATCCAGTCTCCTGCCTTTTTTGTCAATAAACTTTTAATAAACACAACCATACTTGTTCATTTACACACTGTCTGTAACAGCCATCATACTCCAAAAGCAGAGTTTAATCACTGTGACATTACTATATGACATAAAAAGCTTAAATTTTTTACTACTTTATTTTGCCAGTTCCTTTATTTTTCTCCACTAAAAAAGCTTTTACTTTATTTAGTACATGTTTGCAGTACATGAAGTTTACTTCAGCTTGAGAAGTAAAATACATATACATCACACAGCTTATTTTTTTTAATCTTGTTCCTCTTTCTACTCCCTGTTCCTTCCTATCTCTAAATCCCTTTTCCCCATTTTCATTTTTGCTTTATTGGTCTTAGGTCATATCTATGACATACAATGTTTGCTTTCATTGTGGATATTTGGTACCCATATATACAGGGAATATTTTAAATGTTTATACTTCTCATTCTCTTTACCCTGTCCCTTTGCCAATTCCTAATCTATACTTTGCTTTGCCTGTAGTTTCTTTTGTGGTTATTTTAGTGCTTGCAGATGCAGAAGATATCTAATATCTGACTTCTTGATGAGCATGATAGTAGTAATTGGATATCCTTATTAAGTCAATAAAAAGTACCTTGTTTTTGCAATTTACCTAGTGTAAAAAGACTTAAATAGCCCAAATGATCAAGTATAAGAAAAATACTGATCTAGATATGGTTCATGCCAGTCAGTTATCACAGTGGATGGATTATTTTTACATGATTCTTTTTCACTGAGTTTGTAATAGGGGTTTCCTGAGTGTCTTAAGGTCTGTGTATCTCATCTGTGTATCATATAGCACAGGAATTGATTAACATGATTATATGTATAATAGAAAACTGTAATTAATACTTTTATTAATTATTCTTGTATCTCCTATGCTGCTCTAGTTCTTAAAACCAAGGTCTCTTGAGTGCTTTTGGTCAGAACTCAAGCTAATATAAGCAATTACCCAGGGATGTCCAGAACGCTAGATCTGTACTCCCTAAAATATTACCTTTAAGCTGTATATACGTAAATTATTTAAAATAAAATAAAATTTAAAATTTAACTTCTTACACTAGCCACATTTCAGATTTTCGTTAGTTATATACAGCCAGTGACTGTTATTGGACAACATAGATACACAACATTTGTTTCAGAACAGAAAGTTTTAGTGGACTTGGTGCTGTACATGCTAGAGTTTAAGAGTCTCAGTTCAATGAAATCCAAGTGTAGTTGATTTAATCTTTCATTCATAAAGATGAAATAATAATTTGTATTTTTTCTAACATCAAACAATAATGAAATGTTCAACCCTGCTGTAGGGCCTCTTAGCTAAGAGAAAATTTTTTATTAAATTCTAATAATCTCTTTAAATATTGACTCTAGGAAATATCTGTCTCATTTGCCCCATGGACTATCTGGTCATGATGATTAATCATTGGCTAGTTTGTAAAATGTTTGAGAAATTTGATATATTGCCAAATCTATTTGACTTAGCTATGGATGATGGGAAAGGAACCAGTTTTAAAACAGAAACTATAAAGTCATTAGAGTATAAAGTCTTGGCATAATCTTTTAAATGATTTAGATTTCATCATTCAGTGACTCATTTTTATTCCCAGCATCTAGTGCTTTTTGTATGGCCCAAAGGGGCCCTGTGCTGCTCCACTACCAAGGAAACGTCAAGAAATGCTGTTTTGCTACAGTGGTTTAGCTTGTGAGAGTCTCTGGGACGTTCCCTGCTCCATCATGGTGTCACCTCTAGGTGGGTATTAGGGGGAAATTTGTAACTAATTTAAGTTTCTAATAAAGAAATAGATAATTTTTTGTGGTCTAATGAAATTTCTATTTAACAGCCAGTATCTTAACATGTTTTCCAGGCTCTAGTACAGTGTCACCTTAAAGATTATTTTTCTAGCAATGTTCTTTAAATCAAGAGACTAAAAGATTTTATAGACTTCTTAGCTTGTTCTTATTTACTGTCATCAAAAATGTTTCTCGTGTCCTGCTTTTCTGTAGATTACTGGATCTTTGTCATTCTGTACATCAAAGCTGTGCAGCTATGATGGAGGGAAATAGGATTGGGATACGTAAAAGAAAGCCAGTTTTAAGTGAGAACTCAAGTATAATCTCACTCATATGGCTTCTCCTCCCTTCAAATGTTCTCTCTTCTCACCTCATGTCTCCATATAGTCGTTCCTTCATTCTTCCAACGTGAGATCTAACCACGTTGGGTGGTAAAAGCTGTCACTTGACAGCAGTAGGGACTTCTATAAGAGATAGTTTATTCAAAAAGTATCTCCCCACTCACTTTTTGCCTCTTCTAATCTGTTTCCTATGCGCTTCCTGGAAATTTCTTGGAAATACTAGTGGATATTTCTCTGTAATTTTATGACATTTTAGGAACTAACATGAAAAACACCTTAGGTCAAGCTGGACATGGTGGCACATACCTATAGTCCCAGCACTTGGAAGCTGAGGCAGGAGGATTGCAGTGAGTTTGAGGCCAGCCTAGGCTACATAGTGAGTTCAAGGCCAGCCTAAACTGCACAGCAAGACTCTTTTTTTTTTTTTTAAACTGAACAACAACAACAAATGCATCTTAGGTCAGTGATGGTGAGCCTTTAGAGCCTTCAGTGATACGAACAGTCCACTGTGGCACACATGCTGCAGATTTACCACCACTGTCTCATGTTATCTTGAAACCATGATTTTAGAACATTAAAAGAGCCACTCAGGTCTTCTGTTTCTTCCCCCTAATACTCCTTTGGGCCCAAGTTGAATTTTAAGCTTAAAACCACTCTAAAAATGGCTTAATGTTTAGTGTACATTATATCCCAAAAGTATTTTTTCAGGAAGTTGACTGTGATAGAGATTTCTATTTCCTTTACAGGTCATTTTACCTGGGACAAATACCTAAAAGAAACATGTTCAGTCCCAGCGCCTGTCCATTGCTTCAAGCAGGTAATTGATTCTCAGCATCATTAGTATATGGGAGACAAATAGGTTTCTTTTGTTTGGTGTCATTGTTGTTATTGTTGGTTTTTTTTTTTTTTGTGGTTTGTTTTGTTTTGTTTTGGTTCGTAATTAGCATATGAGCCTTTGGCTTCTCACTTGAGGACAAGCTTGGATGAGAGGAATAGAAACTCTGCAGAAAAATTTGGTCCTGTGAGTTTTAGAGGAGTTGTTCTGCTCAGCTTCATCCCAACTAATGCTCTTTCCTCCTCCTTTTCCTCTTCCTCCTCCTTGTTCTTCCTCCTCCTCTTCTTCACCTTTTTGAGGATATTTCGTTACTAGAAGAAATATGCCAACTGTAGTTCTTAATTCAGACAGATAAGAAAGAGACTTCTAGCCCTTAGATACTACTTAAAAGTGAAGCAGTATTTCTTTCCTTGTACTTAACACCCCTGCCACAATCTTACTTTTATCTAAGACTTATGACATTGAATCCCATTGGGAAAAGTTTTAGGAACTCATCAGAGGTCATCCAGAGCGTCCCACATAGAATTAAATGTTCCAGACAATTCATAAGTGATGTTGATTGTCTCAGTAAGTGATAAGACTTATAAGCAAAGAATATTTCTCTGTACTGCTAAACAGAGCTAAGCATTAGGCCATCGGTCTTCCTTTGTTACTCAATGATTATTATCCTGTGTCAATAGTTCATATTTAGGTCTATATTCTAGATAAAAATACAAATTCAAAACATCTTTTCAAATTTAGTTGAAAATATTCAAATTAATATTTTCACCTGAAACATGTTTTTAAAAGTCTAAATATAATAAGTGGTAGTTTTCAAATCACCAATGACCAAACAACTAAACAATTTGGGAAAACTAAAAAATGAGCCCTGTGTGATTTTCCAGCTTTCTGTCTCAAGAATTTTAGATCATGGTTCAGGGAAAGGAAATGTAGGTTGAGCCAGCAGATTCCCTAATTTAAAGAAATGAGATCAACTGGGAGTTCTTTTAAGGTATTCAGGAAAATACTGTTGTTCATTGAAAGCATGTGAGGAAATATTTCATGCCAGAGTAACTCCTGGGAAAAGTATTAGAAGGAATAGAGCCTGACACACCAACTCAACTGGAAACTCTCACAATTCACTGGGCATTGAATAGGACTACTCAAGAAAGTTTTACTCAGTGTCAGGAAATAATGTATTAGCTATAGCCTGAGCAGTGTTCCACACCTGCCTCACAAATCATAAGAAGCAAGAGCATAAAACCCTATGTAAGTAGCTACATCTGGGAACAAAACACAAGGAAATTTATAGGAATGAAAAATTATCCAGGGACCATCAAATAAAATTCACAATGTGTGGCATCCAGTCAAAGATAACAAGGCATGAAAGGAGGCAGAAAGTACAATCAGTAACAGAATAATCAGTTGGTTGAAACTGACTCAGGACCTACATAGGTCATAGAATAGCAAACAAATACATTGATTATTTTCATCATTTGATGTGTTAAACAGAGAAATTGAAGATATAAAGAAAGAGATTGAATATTACATATGAAATGGAAAATATACTGGATGGAATTAGTGACAGAATAAAAGATTAGTAAACTTGAAGATATTTAACAGTAGAAAGTACCCAAAATTAAACATAAAGGAAAAAGAAAAAAAAAATGAAAAGAGCACCAGAACTGTGAAATAGCTTCAGGTGACCAAATACACATGAAATGGAGTCCCCAAGAAAGATAAAAGAAAGAGGGAAAGAAGAAAGCATTTGAAGAAATAATAGGTAAAATTTTCCAAAAATGAGAAATACTGTAAACCCATAAGTTCAAGAAGCTCAGTGAGCCCCAAAAGTAACAAGAAGAAAACTACACTAATGTATATCATTATAGTGCACAAATCCATAAAGAGAAAACCTTAAAGCAGCCAGAGAAAAGATACTTTATATGTAGGATAACTAAGATAAGAACTACACTGTCACTGTGTTCTCTCTCTCTCCCTCTCTCTCTCTCTCTCACTCACTCACTTTTTTTCTTGAGACAGAGTTTCACTATGCAGTTCAGGCTGGCCTTGAACTTACTTTATAGCCCACGCTCAAATTCTCAAATTTGTGGTGATTCTCCTGCCTCAGCCTCCCAAATGTTGGGATTATAGACATCTGCCACCATGCCCAGCTTTTCACCGTATTTCTTGTTAGAAACAATGCAAGGAAAAACAAAGTTGTGCAACATTTTTAATGAAAGAAAACATTTAACCTAAAATACAATACCTAACAAAAGCTGGTTGAAATTGACTCAGGACTTACATAGGTCATAGAATAGCATCTATACTTTGAAAAAACATCTTTCAATAATGAAGCTGAAGGAATTTGTCACTAGCAGTTGAACTGTCAGAAATTTTAAAGGAAGTTATAACAAGCAGAAGGAAAATGATATCAGATGAAATAACAGATCTATAGAAAGCAATGAACTTTAAAAATTTTAAATTTAATAATACATAAAATGTTTTTTCTTAGTAAATCTATAAAATACAATGAACTATATAAACATTAATTATGTATTGTGGGGATAACATAAGTTAAATGTATGATAATAAGGCAGGGAGAAATTTAAGTTTACTGATGCGAAATTTTTATACATAAATTTGTATAATATTACTTGAAGATAAACTATGATAAATTAAAGATGTTTAATATCTTTAATTTATACTAAATAAATTAAAGATGTTTACTATAAACCCAGAGCAACCACTAAAATGATGGAAAACCACTAAAATAATGGAAAACATTTAAACTCAGCTATATCAAAAATCAAGTTAAATGTAAATGACCTACACATCTCAATGAAAAGATTAAGATTGGCACATTAGATAAAAAGCAAAATTGAGTTTGTACAATGCCTATAAGATGTTACACTTTACTCTTCAAAAAAAGTAATAGGAACTATGGGAGTAATAAAACCCAAAATGTGTAATTGTCATTGTACAAAAGAAAAGAAAGTGCTCTAAAGGTTATAACTGCATATATGTTTAAGTGTATAAGGTAGATAACCATATTACTGAGTTTTGTTGGATCATTGAACAAAACTGTTTGCAGTCTCACTGTTTGAAAGTCCACTTTATATGCTTTAATTTTGTAACTTGAACAACTATTTCTAAGATGAGAATATGTAATCTATTAACTAGTGATTTCTTACTGTTTGTTTTTTAAATTTTGTATTACTTGTACCCTTTTTCTGTTTTTTTCTTTTTCTCCTTAAATAAAATTTTTAAAAAAGATATTACACTTTAACAATAGGAATGGGTTAAAGATAAAATGATGGGAAATGATGTAAGATGCAGACATTAATCATTAATATACCTGAAATAACTTAATATCAAAGTATGTTTCAGAGCAAAGACTGTTACTGGAATATAGAAAATAATCTCATAATAATAAAACAGTCAGACAATCCTTACATGGAACAAAGCCTTATGAAATTAATCCAAAATACGTCCAAAATGTATCTGTAGTCAGAGTTGATAGAAATTAAGCAAGCATACCATACACTTGAACAACTAACTTGACCCAGTTGCGACATACTGAACATTGTCCAACATCTGTAGAGTACACATTCTTTTTGAGTTGTTGGTGAACATTTAGTAAGATAAGCCATATTCTGGGCATAAAAAAGCTCAAGAAATGTGAAAGCATTTAAGCAGTACAAAGTTATGACAGTGGAATTTTTTATTAAAATAACAGAGTTACCTAGGAAATCTCCAAATATTTGTAAACTAAGTAACTCATTTCTAAGGACCCTATGCATGCTAAGAAACCAAAAAGGGACATAAGAAAGTATTTTCAACTGAATGAAAATGAAAACAGAACCTTTCAGAATGTGTAGGATGCTGCTAAAGCAATACTTAGGGGGAAATTTATAGCACTGAACATTTATATTAAAATGAAAGGTTTTGATTAACTTTAGAAAACTGAAAGGGAAAGAAAGTTAACTCTGAAATAAAGAATAAGAAACAGATTAGAGCATAAATCATTTTTTTTTTTTTTTTTTACTGGTACCGGGGATTGAACTCACGACCACGCACTTGCAAGGCAGGCGCTTATTAGAGCATAAATCACTAAACAAAAGACAGAAAAACTATAGACACAACTGAAGCCAAAAGCTAGTTCTTTCCAAAGATTAATAAAATTATAAAGTTCCAGCCAGATGACCATGAATAAAGGAAAAAAATGTAACTAGCCAATATCTGAAATAAGATAACTAATATCACTATAGAGTCTACAGATATTAAAATATTAAGAAGTACTATATCTGTAAATTTGACAACTGAGATGAAATGAGTAACTTTCATGAACGACACAATTACTAAAGTGTAGTCAAAAAGATAGAAGATCTGAATAGTGCTATTTCTTTTACAAAAATTGAGTGGTAGTAAAAAGTTCTCCCTTAGTGGCTTTGCTGATGATTTTTTTTTTTCAAACATTTAAGGAAAAAATGTACAAACTCTAAACAGACTTCCAGAAGATTTATGAGAAGGAATATGTCTATTCTACAAAGTAAACATTTCTGTTGCCAAAGCCAGGCAGACATCAAACAACAACAACTGCACAGCAGTATCCTTGTAAAAATTCTTAACAGTTTTAAAGGGAAAAGAATAACAGCATATAGAAAACTCATTATGACCTAGTGGCATTAATTCTAGGAATGCAAGGTTTATTTAAATTTCAAAAATCAATCGATATAATTTACCATACAAATACACTAAAGAAAAAACGTATTCAGTATAGTGGAGAGAATATTTGTAAATCACATAGATAACAGCAAAACTCCACAAATGAATTCGTAGATTCAATGTAATCCTATCAAATTCTAGATACCTTTTTTTTTTTTTTGCAAAAATTGACAAGTAGATTCTAAATTTCATATAGAAATGCAGGGTGCTGGGTGTGGTGCCACATGCCTGTAATCTCAGCACTTAGAAGACTGAAGCAGGAGGATCACTGTCAGTATGAGGCCAGTCTGGGCTATATGGTGAGTTCAAGGCCAACATGAACTGCATAGTGAGACCCTGTCTCAAACCAAAAACAAAAAAACAACGTATGGAAATATAAGAGACCAAGAATAGCCAAAGCAGTCTTAAAAAGGGAAAATAATGGTGGAAGACTCAATATTTCCTGATTTAAAAATTTACTACAAACTGTAGTACTCAAGATGATGAGATTCTGGCATGAAGGCAAACATATAGATTATTGATCCATTAATTTACAGTCAGTTACTTTTCAGTGAGAATGCCAAGACAGTTCTATGAGATTTTCAACAACAGGTATGGGAATAACTGGATATCCACAGGTAAAAGAATGAAATCACATCCTCTCTATATCATATACAAAGATTAACTCCAAGTGGATCATAGACCTAGATGTGTAAGTTAAGACTATAAAACTCTTAGAAGAACACACATGATATCTTTATTACTTTGGTTTAGGTAACAGTTTCTTAGATACAGCACCAAAAACACAAACCACAAAAAGAAAAAATAGATATACTGAATTTCATCCAAACCAAATGGACTTCCAAGGACACAATCAAGAAGATGAAAAGATTAATCACAAAATGGGAGAAAATATCTATAAATCATATATCTAACAAGAGACTTGTACTCCAATTGCAGTATATAAAGAACTCTTACAAATGAACAATTTTTTTAAATGACAGATTTTTCAAATGACAGATTTTTATTTTTTTGTTACTATATGTTTGTAGTACATAATGATCACATTACTCATGAAGAAGAAAGTCACAATTTTAAAATGGGCAAAGAACTCGAACACATATTTCTCCCTATGGATACAAATGACCAATAAACACATAAAAGAAACTCTACATCATTGTCTTTCAAAAACAGAAATCGAAATTGCAGTTATATAATATACATCTGCTAGATGACTAAACTTTAAAAAGCAGACAGTAACAAGCACTGATGAGCATATAGAGAAATTAGTACTGTCATGTATTGGTGCTGAGATTATAAAATCCTGTAGCCATCTTAGCAAACAGTTCATTTACTCAAAATGTTAAACACAGAGTTACCATATGACCTAGCAGTCCCATTCAGTGTATATGCAAGAGAACAGAAAACATGCCAAGGATATCTCATAAATGTCAATCACATCATTACTAATAATACAATAAATCCCTAACTTACTAACAAATTCCATTCCAGGAGCCACAAGCCAGTTTTGTCCATAAGCCAACAAAGAGAAAATATTTTTAAGTCAAAGACTTAACTGTAATTGTGAAGAGGAAACAATCCAAATGTTCATCCAATGGTAAATAAGCAAAGTGTAGTATATCCATACAATAGAATATTATTCTGCAATGAAAAGGAATGAAGTACTGATGATACAGGCTATAATGTGTGTATGAGCTGTGAAAACATGCTAAGTGAAAGAAACCATTTGCATATTAGCCACGTATTACATAATCCCAACTATATGAAATATCCAAAATAGGCAAATCCATATAAATGAAAAGTAGTTTCATAATTTCCAGTGCCTGGACTGAGAGAGGGGATGGAGAATGACAACTGATGAAATGGGATTTCTGTTGGGGAGATAGTGAAACTTTTATAAGAGTAGGTAGGCATAAAGTTTGCACAATTCTGGGTTTATACTTAAAAACTTTGAATAGGGCAGGACTACAGCTTAGTGATAAGTGTCCCCAAGGCATGCATGAGGCCCTGGGTTCATGTTCAGTTCCACCAAACAACAGCATTGAATTATATATATACTTTATAAGAGTTAACTTTCTTATGTGTGAGTTAAATGTATACTCATCATATCATCCAGCCATTCCAATCTTAGATATTTAGGAAGAGAAAAGAAAGTCAGTTGGCCTTCCATGTGTGGATTTTGCATTTGTGAATTGGACTGATTGCAGATCAAAAATGTTTGGGGGAAAATTGTGTCTATACTAAACATGTGTAAGCTTTTTCTTGTCATTATTTCCTAAGCAACACAGTATAACAATTATTTACATAGTATGTATATTGTATTAGGTATTCTAAGTAATCCAGAGATGATTAGGGAAGATGTATGTAGATGATACAGGAAGATGTGTGTAGATTATGTGCAAATACTGTACCACTTTATGTAAGAGACTTGAGCATCCATGGGGGGTCATCCTGGAATTAATCCTCTCTAGGCACTAATAGACAACTGTATTGTTTCTTTGCAAATATTTACACAGGAATATTCATAGCAATTTTATTTTGTAATAGTAAAAAAGTGGAAAAAATCAGACAACATCAACTTACATACTGCTAAGCAACAAAAATGAATTACAGGTTGAGTATCTCTTATCTAGACTTTTTCAGACCATAAGTTTAGTGTTTTATATTTCATTTTTTTCAGACATTAGAATATTTGCATATGTAAAATGAAATACCTTAGAGATATAACCCAAGTCTAAACATGAAATTCATGAATTTCAATATACTTTATACACATTTCCTGATAGTAATTTTATACATTTTTAGTGTGCCTGTGTTTTGGCTGCAACTCATCACATGAACCCAGTTATGAAATGTTATACTTTTTTTTTTATTTAAGGAGAAAAGAAAAAAAAACAGTGAAGGGGTACAAGTTATACAGATTTACAGAAGAAAAAAATGCGCAGTAGGAAATCACTAGTTAATGGATTACATATTGCCATCTTAGAAATAATTGTTCAAGTCACAAAATTAAAGCTTGTAGAGTGGACATTCCAACAATGATACTGCAAACAGTTCTGTTCAATGATCCAATAAAACTCTGTGATATCATTTTCTATCTTATACACTTAAATATACATGCAGTTATATAGTTTAGAGCACTTTCTTTTCCTCTCTTTTGTACAATGACTATTACACATTTTGGGTTTCATTGCTCCCACGGTTCTTATTGCTTTTTTGGAAGAGAGTAAAACCAAATGTGACATAACAGAACAGAATCAGTCAAGTCAAAAGGGTGGACATAATAGATAATATAAAAACATAATACAAGGTGATCAACAGTGGTTACCATAATGCCTCCCGCTATCTCTAATAGAATTGCCTATATCATTAGTTATAATACAATTGAACAAAACAGTAAAGAACAAAACCGACAAATACTTTTAATGTTAAAATCAGTACTCAAAAAGTTTCAGAATTTGCAGCATTTTGGACTTAAGACTTTCAGATTAGAAATAATCTGTATTGATCCATTCAGCAATGTAGGTGAATATCAGAATAGTTATGCTGAATGAAAGCTATCCAAAAAAGTACATCCTCTATGATTATATGTAAGGTTAGGAGATGAAAAGCAATCTACAATGTACAAAGTACATCATTGGTTGCCTGGACATAAGAGTCTGGGAGGGACCACAATAAAAGGGTTACAAAGGAACATTCATGAAGTGGGGTGATAGTCACACTCATTTTCTTGATCCTGGTGATGCTGTCACAGATGAATACATATGTCAAGACTTACCAATGTGTATATAGTTTATTATATATCAATGTTATGAGTTTATTTAAAACTTAATGTCAAAATAAGAAAAAATCAACTCCCAGTGGTTCTTAATCTATGTAGTAGATATGCAGACCACTAATGTTCCATAAAGAGACACTTAGGATATGGTAGCTGCATAGAATGTGGAGGTACTGAAAAGAAAGTGTTATATCCAAAGAGATAAAAAGTTGGAAAAGATAGAATGAGAAAGCATTAGAGCAAGTAGATGCTGTTGTCCTTTTTACTGGTGTGAAGCAATATTTGGTGCTTCCGAAGAAAGTAAATTTTCTCTTCATCTTACCTTACACTGTTTCTTCAGATGAAACTTTTCTTAAATGATAGGGCATAATTCAAAATGTTATCCCTGGTCCAGGTGTAATCCAATTTGAGGACAAAGCCTACATTTTCTGTTTTTTTTTTTAACTTTCTTTGTGAAAACTCAGTTGACTATATTCTTGTTCTACCTAATCCCTACGGCTTATTCTTGTCAGTCCTATACACCTCCAAGCAATGAATTCAAGATCAGCATGAAATTAGAAGCACAAGACCCCAGAAACACCACATCCACCTGTATTGCCACAGTAGTTGGACTGACTGGTGCCCGCCTCCGCCTGCGCCTTGATGGCAGTGACAACAAGAATGACTTCTGGCGGCTGGTTGACTCTGCTGAAATCCAGCCTGTTGGGAACTGTGAGAAGAATGGGGGGATGCTGCAGCCCCCTCTGGGTGAGTTACTAGACCCATACTCTTCCCTACAAATTGTGTGGGACCCCTTTTACATTCGATTATGGAAAGTATAGAGTCCCTGCCTATCCCTTTGCTTTCACTTAGTCCCTAAAAATTTCCATCTCAATATTTTAGCCTATGATGTCTAAGTGTCTCTCAAACTCTACCTTTCCGCACATGAAGATACACCTTTCTTTCTTTTTTTGTCAGTATTCATTTACACTAAGAGAGAGAATTGAAGGTATTCTTTCCATTTAGTGTACTTCAAGAAAAATAAAGTAAAAATACAGATACAGACACACACATGTGCACACACCCCCACACAGACATACACATCACAGAGCTTCCACTAAATTCAGTAATGATGACAAGGAGTAAGAGAAAACTCCACCAGTAAAAAGGGTAAAAATATCTTTCATCTCTTCCCCTCCTCCTAGATTCTCACTTTGTCCTTGGAATTCTCTCATTTTAAATCTGTTATTTTGCTTAAACTACTAACCCCACTAGGTTTTCCTCTTCTAAATTAGAATCGCCTTTTTTTTTTCTTGGTCTAAAAGTACCTAAGAGTGCCATCCCATCTAATCAGTTACTACCAGTCAGTATTGGAGTGACTCTCAATGAAATGCAGATAGAGAAGGATGGAGCATGGACTTTGGGCCATGGTCCCCTCAGGAAGCTGAGCTACATTGAGGTTAGGGAATATATATCATTTGAAAGCACACCCTAAATACTTGTTTAAATATGTTCCTCCATTTGTAATTATTTGTAATATATAATTCAAGCTATAAAAAGAACACAGTGAATGTCCATGTACCTTCATTGTTGATAATCATCAACACAAGGTCAATCTTGTTTTATCTGTTTACTTATGCATACTTCTTGTCCTGTGTCTTTCTGTCCACCTACCCAAAGATAATATCATGTTATCATGATACTATTTAGTATGTCTCTCCCATAGGTAAGGATATTTTTAAATAATTTTAATGCCATTATCACATGTAATTTTTTTATTTGGTTTTTTGAAACAGGGTCTCACTATGCAGTTCAGGCTGGCCTTGAATACACTATATATTCCAGGTTGTGGGATATAATTCATGGCAATCCTCTTGCCTCAGCCTTCCAGGTACTGGGATTACAGGATTACGCCACCATACTTGGTTTATCACATGTAAATTAGCTACAGTTTCTTAATACATATTTGATCTTTGTCTAAATTTTCCTGCATTTGATTTTCTTCCTCCTTCCCTTTCTCCCTACCTCCCTAATCTCTCCTTTTACCTCCCTACCCTACTCCACCTGTACCCTCCCAACAATTTCTTTGATCCAGGATCTAACATTCATAGTTGGTTGATATGCCCCTTAAATCTCTTCCTTCTCTATTGTTTTCCATTTTAATTTACTTGTTGAAAACCCGAAGTCCTTTGTCTTTAAAATTTCTCACAATTGTATTTACTCATTGTTTCTTTTAAATATATCATTTAACATGTTTTTCTGTCCTGTGCTTCCTAGAAATTAATAACTAGATCCAAATATTTGCTCAGCTACAGACTTGTTTTTATCTTGTTTTATACTTTAATAGCCATTGATGCTCATGGTCTCAATTGGGGACCAACATATTTTCTTAATGATTCAGATAGTAAATATTTCAGGTTTGCACACCATATATTCTTTGTACAATTATTCATTCAGCTCTGTCTTTGTAATGTGAAAGTAGCCATAGGTAATACATCAGTGAATGAGCAGAACTATATTCCAATAAAACTTTACTTTTAAAAACAACTGACAACAAAGCCTGCTGATCCCTGATTGGTTGATGGATAGATGGATGAACTAACTAATTGATTTTTACAGTTCTGATAATTGAACTCAGAATTTTTGTACTAAGCTATATGTCCAGCCCTTTTAAATTTTTTTTATTTGGAAATAGGGTCTCCTTAAAGTATTAAGTTGTCCAAGACTGTGCTCAAACTTTTGCACTCCTCTTGCCTCAGCTTAACGGAGTATTAGGATTATAGGTATGCACTACCACACTTGATTGCTGATTTAGTTTGTTTGTTTGTTTTGAGGCAGGATCTCAGTATGTAGTCAGGCTAGCCTTGAACTCACTATATGTCTCAGGCTGGCCTCAAACTCATAGCAGTACTCCTACTTCAGCCTACTGAGTGCTGGAATTACAGCTATATGTCACCATGCCTGGCTCAGCTACTGACTTAGACCCATCAATTTATTATGGTTACTGAATCAGAATATTTAATCCTGCCATTCTTTCTACATAAATTAAATTGAATAGATTTAGTAAAATAAAATTTAATCAATTCTTTAGTTATCCTAAAGTATAGTTCATACAAGATATTTTGGAGACTGAGATGTAATTTATCTTTAGTGGTACAGTTGTTGTCTGGCATGCATGAGGCCCTGTTTGATTTTCAAGCACTGCCTCTTCTCCTCCAAAAAAGCTAAGTTTATAAAAATAAATGTTCATTGACTCTTTGAGACATGGATTATACAGGATTCTTTTTTAATTTACTTATTTGGAAAGCAACAAATTGGTTTACTAACATCTTCCAAAAGTATTTAAGGAAGGATTTTTAGTGTCAGAACCTCACACAGGTTGTGTGTCAACCTGTCACACAACTTGTATATATTAATGTTTAAATTAGGTCTTAGGCTGGGAGTTTAGCTCAGTGGCATAAATGCCTGCCTGGCAAGCACAAGGTCATAAGTACGATCCTCAGTACCAAAAAAAAAAAAAAAAAAAGTCACACTGAATTGTCCCATCTTTAGTAGGGGCCTCTCGACACTTTTATTTATTTTTTATTAAAGTTTATTGGTACAGTTTAGGTATACATAATAATCACATTTGTTTAGAGAATTTATATCTGTACATGGTATAGCTTCATTCCTCCTTTTTTCCCCCATTCCCATCCCTTCTTTTCAAAACCCCTTTCCTCTTTATTCTCAGTGCTTGGATTTCATTTTATCCTTCTCTAATTTTTTTTAATTTAAAAGGAAAAAGAGAAAAAACAAAACAGTGTAAGGGTACAAGTAACATAGAGCTACAAAAAACAGACAGTAAGAAATCACCGTTAATAGATTACACATTATCATCTTAGAGATAGTTGCTCAAGTCACAGGATCAAAGCATACAAAGTGGACACTCAAACAGTGAGACTGCGAACAGTTGTGTTCAATGATCCAACCAAAACATTAATATGGTCATCTATTTAACACCCCTAAACACACTTGCAGTTGTATCCTTTAGAGCACTTTTTTTCCCCTCTCTTTTTTACAACAAAATTTACACATTTTGAGTTTTATTACTCCATAGTTCTTATTACTTTATTTTTGGAAGAGAATAAAGTCAAATATGGCAAAACAAAGCTGTCAGTGAAAACTAAGGATAGACATAGCACATGACGTAAAAACAGAGTACAAGGTTATCAACAATGGTTACCATAATGCCTCTTGCTTCCTTAAAAAGAATTGTCTGTCTCATTAGGTATTATAAAGTTGAACAAAACAGTAGAGAACATGACCAATAAAACCTAAACCTTGTAAACATTACAGGACTTCCAAAGAAGGTAATAGTCAAACCAGAATGGGCATCATAGTGAATCTTATTGCCTTCAAAGTAGTTGCCTATACCCTCAAACTTGATGCTATCATACAGAATGGAACAGAGTCTAATCAGCCAAAACAAGATAGTGGGAGTATTACAGAACTTCAAATCAAGTTAATAGGAAATCAAAAAAGTTACTATAATATATCCTGCTAATTTTTTTATGTTTTCCCCTTAATAAAAAATCATAAAAATAACTAAATAATTTTTTTAATGAATAAAGGAAAGATTGAGATAAAAGAGGACATAACAACATAACAATGCAGGTCAAAGCATGACAGTTTCAGCAACCTAGTGCTTCACCACCAAATAACCCGACTTAATGGTAGTTACCATAGTGTCTTTTTCCTTGAAATATTTGAATATAACTTCATATGCTATAGCATCAAACATATCAAGACAGTGTAACACCATTCAAGTGGATGAAAGCATTGTAGGATATTTAGAACCAGCTAACAGAAAACAAACAATGGTTTCTATATTATCTCTTTGCCTATAGCAATTTTTGTTTATACTATCACATATAATAAAATTCAGCAAGATACATCATGATAAAACCAATGGAGACAGAAGAGCCATAGTTTGGTGGGGCTTCAAAACAAGATGATAGTAAATCAGCACTAGCTATTATGATGACGTGTTTTCTTCAAAATAGCTGTTCATTTCATCATAGGCCATAATATCAAGCAGCCCAGAATAAAGCCATTCCAATTAATAAGTGAAAACTTTATAAGGTTTCAAGGCCACATAATGGGGAATCATGATTACCACATACTTTTATATATTTGAATCATTTCTTACATTAGGGAAACTATTCCCCGGTATTAAATACACATGCGAGATTGATTTATTTCAATTACAAGTATGGTCTCAAGCTGTGCCCATTTACTGTTAAATACCTCAATATGATCCTTTATAGCTGAGTAGTACTCCATTGTATAGAAATACCACAACTTTTTTATCCATTCCTCAGTTGATGGACACTTGGGTTGTTTCCAAGATCTGGCAATTACAAATTGTGCTGCTATAAACATAGGTGCACATATATCACTGTGGTATGATGCTTTCAGTTCTTCTGTGAATATGCCTAGAAGTGGAATAGCTGGAACAAATGGGACTTCCAATACCAGCCTTTTGAGAAATCTCCAGAATGACCTCCACAAAGGTTGTACCAGTCTATACTCCCACCAATAGTGTAGGAGAGTTCCTTTTTCCCCACAGCCTCTCCAGCATTTGTTGTTGTTGGTTTTCTTGATTCTGGTCATTCTTTCAGGAGTGAGATGGAATCTCAGTGTGGTTTTAATTTGCATTTCTCTAATGACCAATGATGATGAACATTTTTTCATGTATTTATTTGCCACTTGTATTTCTTTATCTGAGA